TTATAATATAAAAATTGAGCCTGGGCTAGAGTTTGAGCAAAAAAGAAAATAAACTCGACGAGCTCAAGCTCCATCCTGCCAAAACAGGCGAGCTCGGCTCGTTCACACCCCTACACTAGACTAGAGAAAAACGTAATCGAAAATCGTCCATGTGGATACCCTCTGTACTACGCACAAAAATATTATGCTGCCCTTATATGGAATTTTTTCTCAACTGCATCAATATTTTCGCCAACTGCATTTAGTATTTTTTTTATCTGCATTTATCATTTTAACTGATTTTTTAATAAACATCTATTTGTTTGTTTTGTTATTCTTTTATATATATGTTCTTTTTTATTTATTATTATTATTTATTTTAACTTATTTTTTTATTTTTAATTTTGTTTCTAGATGCCGGAAAAAAAAAATTTATATGGTTACTGTACTAAAAAAAATTACCAATGAATGTAGTTATCTGTGGTTATATTCTTCTTGTTATCCCGAAGTCATGATCGACCAATTATATATGTACATTCACGAATATCACCGCTTATATACAAAAAAAATCATCAAAACCAACAACAAAATTCACAAATTAAATATTTATATTAGAAATTAACTCGTAACATATTAATACACAATCACATGTGTATGTTACTAGAATTTTGGCATCTAGAAGACCAATGACTTCCATTAAGCTGCAATTGCAAAATCGAAAAAAAATAATTATTTAGTTGTGTTATTTGGAGCATACAAGTAACATTACTTACAATATTGTGCTATTCAAATCCGATACTTCAAAGGGTATAATAGGTACTCCATCTGGCCGAAGGAAAGTATTTCAAATTTGAAAGAAAAGAAAACATGAATTTTGGCCCACAATTCCTATTTTTGTTAGCCAAGGGAGGAATAAGCTGCTCTGAAGGAAGGTCAACTGTCTTCATTAATTAATAACAAATCCTACATTTTAACATAAATTAGCCGGGCTATTAGTGAAAAATTAATAAGAGTGAATTCACAACTATTTTTCTTTGTAATGAAGGAATCCGCGCGCAGCCAACCGTATAGGTGTATTGGGTAAATCTACACTCTCGTATAATAGCTTGCAAGCCATACCAGAAACGAAAACCAAACTAGAATAACTATGTGTAAAAAAGCTCAAACATTGACAAATTGTGGCAAGGACACAAAAACACTCCAAAATAAAAATGTGGCAAATTGTTTTAACTCCAAATAAACCAACTCATCACATACTCTCCCAACAGATAAATACACATTTAAACCACATTCTTTTTTTTTATCTGCACATCTATTCATCTAACATACTTTTGGTTTTTTGCTTTTTAGAACATGGGTGACAAGTACAACCTTATAAATAGGGTACTAAGCATATGTAACCACCACAACACCAAAAAAAAAAAAAAAAAAAAAAAAATGAGCGCCGCATGTTCAATCTCGTTTTTCTTTCTCGTACTTTTGTCATTTTCAAGCACATTCATCACATGCGACAAAGACCAGCCGCTTCAGGAGCACGTGCAGGGTGCATTGCACCCTCAACGGGTGAAACGGCCCGAACCGGGACATGACGGGATTCGCGGGCCCCTTATAGTAGAGGAGCCACCGGAAAAGGAGCCCCCGAAGAAACCGGGCAAGAAACCGAAACCCTCGGGCAAGAAACCGAAACCCCCGGGCAAAACCCCGTGCTGGGGGCGTTTTTCCCCTTTTCCTTGCATACCTAAACGGGATAAAAAGAAGTCGCCTCCCCGTTTTGGTCCTGGCTGGCCGCCCGTTTGGCCACCACTCACACCTTTAAATGCCCTAAGGGAGAAACAAATATTGTCTCGAAGGCGGCCGTTCGAAAAAAATTAGAATAAGAAATTATGGAATATGAATAGAAATAATGACTCTTGAGTTGTATGTATGGGTTTCGATTGTTCAAGTTGTGCTGTTACGAAATCTATTTTATAGTAAATCAAGTCGTAATAATAAAAAAGTATCTATAATATATTGGTATCGATCCATGATTAATCCTAATTATTTCGAAGTTTATTATATAGCAAATTGACATTATGTTACGAATCTAAATCACGAATACACCTAATACCAATATACACGTACGGCGTTCATTTGTAGCAAGCACCACCCTTCTTAACGTTTTTGCCCGACAAGACCATCAGTCCCGGCCAACATCCGATACTTATCCTTCCTCGTAAGATTAGTACACTCAAACTTCAAAGCCCTAGCAATCATTTCTTGTACATTATTCGCAACCTCGTAGCTCGATTTACCGGACCCGCCACACGTTAGCTCGGGCGACAACTTGTCCAAAAACGTGACCTCGTATTTGGGCCTAGGGTCCATAGTGAAAAAGAACATGTCCATCCATTTATGGCCTCTTACGGTAGACGGATAAAACATTACCCCTCTTAAATTAATCGCCACAGGCACAATCCTGTCGGTCAATTCTGCAAACAAGGATGAAAACCTCAACAGATATTTTTCCCGACATGTTGTTCCTTCGGGGAAAATGATCAAATCAAGTCCTGATTTCAAGATGTTCGATATTATCTTAGCATCGTGGACCCGGTTCCTCGTCAGCCGACGGGTTTTTATCGGAGATGCTATCTCGGTTAGTCTTGCTATCGAGTAGGATACGCTGGTGGTGGGGCGGCCGATGGCGGCACTGACGACGACACTGTCGATGAGGCTTCTGTGGGAGCCAACAAACGCGACTCCGTTAGAGTTTTTGGCTTTAGGAGGTGGGGTCCCTTTAATTGTGATTGGACAACCTAGAATATGGAAAATGTAGTAAGTTAAAGAAAGAGGGGATAGTGCCCCGAAGATAGCGCGGAGTATGGATAACGGAACGGCGATCGGGAACCATAGAATGATTAATAACGCCTTTAATGGTGTGGGCTTTTGAACGAGGCGGCCGTCGTGGAAGATCACCGGCTTCGCGAGGCCATCCGGTTTCACCGGGCGTATGCGCGACTTCGACGGAACTGTGTACTTTTCCTGCAAACAGTTTAATTTTGCCGAGAGTCAGTACGAGCACCACCATTTGAGAAATGGATTATCAAATACTCATTTTTTGATCACTTTGAAATTTAAGTACTCCAACCAGGTTCACTTACTATAGGACAAATGGCAAACATGTTAATGCCAAGGGACTTAAATGCAAATAGGTTCAGATAAAAAACAGTCACGCTAATAAATTCATCTCAATGTCTTTTGTCTAAAATACCCTTCATAATATAATATTCATCAATTCCATCAATTATACTTTAACTTCATCAATATTGCACATTGACGCCGTATTTTAACAAATATATCACATTAACCCATATTTTCATAATTTTTTGAAAACATATTTTTTTTAGAAAATAATTTTTCTTCTGAATTTTTTTTTTTCCCAGCCAAATTCCGGCGTTGACCGTGCGTTTTTCCGGCATGTGACTTTTTATTTTTAAATTTTTTTTCTGATTTTTTTTTTTCAGCCGGTCAACCGCCGTTGACTTTTGTTTCTCACTAAATTATTGTCCGATACAGTAATATTACGGTAGAAGACAACAAGATTGCAGACCAAGACGATAAAAATAATTGTACAAAAAACTTACTGTCTCCGACGGTAATATTGCAGGTCAAGACACTAATATTAATGAAAACAATTTTTTTTAGAAAAAAAATAGTTATAAAAAAAAAGAAAAAAAAACTTTATAGTAGAGTTTGAAACCAAGGGGGGAAGGAGTAAACCTTGCATAGATTCATGAATAAGAAGTCACTAGTCTCCACGTCACCGATCCCAATCTCCGGCACCGACGAATCCTCAAACACCTTCCCAACAGCCACCACCTTCGCCTCACCGGAAAGCACCCCCGGAGCCGCCACGAACCCGGTGGCAACACCTCTCCACGACAAAATCTCAGTACCCAAAACAAAATCCACATCCAAATAGTTCTTCATTAAAGGCTCAACCACTAATCATAGGATTCACCGTCACCACACATTTTCTCCCACCGCAAGCCGACAGCACGCGCCACGTGTCGGGGTGCAAGTCCTCCGAT